TCACTTCAACTTGTGAGGAAGCAACTGGAGGCACAGAACATCTGTGTTTAGGATTGCTTGGAAACAGAAGTGATTAAGTAGGAAAAAAACTGAGTTCAGGAGTCTTCATGAGCAGGTAGAGGAGGACTGGGCACCAAAGCTAAAACTGAAACCAAAATATGACTTTACAAAGACTGATTTGAAAACCTATTTATGCTTTAGAAGCTCTTAATTCAAAATTGACTGTTTTCTTGGACTTTTGCTGCTGGAGAGGTGGGTTAGTTCTGTTGTTTTGTTGGGGTTCTTTGAGAAAAATCAGAGTGATTGTAATTGTGCCCCATGGCCTTTGTACCGAGCAATCTGCAGCCTGGCAGAAGGTTCCTTCCCCTGCCTGCAATCCCAACCCAACCCCTGCCTGCTGACAAGAAACAGGGACAGCTGAATTCCAGACTGCCCAAAGCCAAGAGCAGTGGGACTGGGATGACCTGGAGAAGAGTCATGTGCTGGTTAAGAGAAAAGATGGGAAAGTTGCAGTGGAATCTTGACTGTGCATCTCAGTTTCTGAGAGACTGTTCCTTTGGTTTGATGATTTCATTCCACATCTGGGGTGTGCTGAACAGACTCATTTAAATAGCGGCAGATGCAGGGCTGCTGCAACCTGTGGATATCTCCCAAACCACACAGACCTGCCAGGGAGGCTGTTCCTTGGGCTGGATTTGCTCCTGGAGGGGGGATGGCTGCTCCTTTCTGGGATCCCAAGCTGAGGAATAACCAGCTTGGAGTTGGGCCCAAGGGTTAATGGTGCCAGTGACTCCTCTCTTCTGATATTCCTCTGAAGGAGGGGAGCAAAGTAACTGGAAGCTGAGGCTTTGGCTGTTTGCAGTCCCTTGGTGGGAGAGGGGATTCTGGCTGTGTCAGTGGTTCTGGCTGGAGCCCAGGAGGCACTGGCTGTTCCCGAAGGTGGCTTTTGGAAATGCGGCTTAGCATCTGTCTGGTTTATCCCATCAATGGGAAGCTGCACTTTCCATGCCCCACCTTCCTGCTGCACACGGTGTTTTGTGTCTGTGTGTGGCTTGGGCACAGCCAGGCTGAGGCAGCTGCAGCTGAGCCCCCAGGGCAGAGCTGGGCTGAAGCACTGTTGGAAACCTCCCTCTGGGACAGCAGTGCCAGCTGCTCCCAGGGTCATGGATAGCACAGGTGTTCCCTGGGGTGTTCTCTAAGGTCTGGGGTCATATTATCAATAAGCCTCTGGCAGGAGGGGACTTCTTCCTTCTAATGTGTCTTTACACAGGACCAGGGAATGGATGGAACTGTGTCAGGGCAGGGTCAGGTTGGATCTCAGGAAAAGGCAGCCAGAGCTCCAGGAGGGTTTGGATGATCCTCTGGGGCACAGGGGGTGACTCTTGGAGATGGGCCTATGCAGGGCCAGGAGCTGGACTGGATGATCCCTGTGGGTTCCTTCCAGCTCAGGAGACTCTGGGATTACCTTCCCTTTCTCTCCCCAACTCCTGCCCTTGAGAGAACACTGCACCCCTTCAGTCTTCTGTGGGATCTGCTCTACAGCCTCTTGGCTCACCTTTAGCAGATGAATTCTCTGCCTTCGTGCAGAGCAGTCTCTGTCCTTGGGCTCAGGTGCTGAGCTGAGCTCAGCCCCAGCACAGACCTGCTGGGCATCCCCTTTATGTAACGTCTGAGCCACATGCTGCCATGCTTCCCTTGGAACCTACTGGATTAGGAATGAACACCTCATCTGCCGTGTCCAGCGAGGGGCGGTGGGGTTTGGCGTTTGTCTAATTAATCCTGAACAGCATTACTGCTCTTCAGGCCGAAGGCATCAGTGTAAGGCCAAGGGAGTGTTCCAGCAGTGCCTCGTGTCAGGAGGAGCCACTAAAAGGGGAGCATGGAGGTGTGCCGGTGTGCTTCCAGGTACCTGCCAGCCATTCCCCCTGCTCTGCCCTCGTCCCTGCAGGCTCACATTGCAGCAGCAGTGAGTGTATCAGAGCACACATAAACCTGTGCTGCCCCTGCCTTGAGCAGGAGCTTTGCTCCTTAAGTTCAGTTAAGTTCAGCTGGAAATAAGAGACATCTGCCTTCCCCATCCTGCTGCTGAGGAGATGGGAGGCCAGGGCTGTGAGGCAGCCTGGCTGTGCTGCAGTGCAGGGGGAGGCTGCTGTGCTCTGTGGGCTCAGGGCTGTGGCTGCAGCAGTGGGTGTCCCTGGCCAGGCTGTCCTGCTGCCAGGGATCACCCTGTGTGTGCTGCCTCGTGAGTGGGGAGGCCCTGGGGAGCCTGGTGGTGGAGCAACGCGTCCTGTGGCTCTGGGATGGTCCCAGGGAAGGGTTGCCCAGTGAGCTGTGTGGCTGTTCCCCCTCAGCCACGGTGGGGCTGTGCCTGTCCCGGAGTGTCACTGCAGAGGCTCTGCAGAGCTGCAGCAGCAGGAGCACTGCTGCTCTCTGAGGGGTGTCCTGAGCTTTCTCTGGAGCTCATTAACACTTCTGTAATGTCACTGTCTTTCCAGTGACTTTGGGTCATGGTTGATTGTTCCAGGTTCCTGGGAGTCCATGAGAACGGCAGAGCCTTGTCCTGCAGAAGAGAAGTAGGTTTCCAGATTTCCTTCCTTTAATTGGCTCAGCTTTCATTAAAACACTGGGTTTGGGTACCTGGTTTGTAAGGCTGGTTGAGCCATGGTGAAAAGAGTGCCCAGTTGCAGGGGAGGGAGACAGAGGGTGGGCTTGTTGTCCAGTGCCTGTGGGCTCTAAACAGGGAGGTGGCGGTTGCCTTGGTTCCAAAACCTTCCCCAGGACTTGTGGCTGCCTCTGCCTGTGTTAGGGAGCACCCTTGGGGCAGTGTGGAGCTCTGAAGCAGCAGTGTCTTGTGTGGAAGGAATGGCTGGGGGGCAGCTCTGGGATGGGTCTCTTGTGTGACTGTAGATGATGTCTCTGCTCCAACTGCTGTGATCTGCTTTGCTCAGACAACAGCTGAGGATGGAATTTGGAGCTGTTAAAGATAATTGCAGGCTTGGGAGGGCTGTGTGGTGACTACCAGAGGGGGTGGAATACGTGCAAGCATAAACTGTGCAATAGAGATGAGCGTTCGTGGTGGGATCTTGGAGAGCTGGGAAATGAAAAGGAGCCTTTCTTCTTCCTGGCCCAGATCCTCAGGGAATCATTTGTCGCTGGGGTTCTGTGTCTAGTCTGAAACCTTTCCAAAGGGGTGTAGGGATTTGGCTGGAAGTGGCTTGGAGGTGCCAAGGGCTTTGTCCTGCTCTGGATGCTCTGGAGCTGCTGGCCCTGGAGGCAGGGGCTGTGCTCTGGGTGAGCCTGGGGACTTCCTCTGACACCACAGACTCTGCTGGACCCCAGAGCCTCCCACAGCTCCTGAAGGGAAACACACCTTTAGTGACACGGGTAAAAAAGGAAAAGGCCTGACAGCAGTTGTTTCCATGACAACAGAAAGAATTGCCTGCAATAGTTCAGCTCATCAGCCTGGGAACAGCCTGATTGATAGTTACACACGCGTGGTAGGGAGAGAGCAGGAGAGGGGAGGCCAATTATATGGCATTTTCCTTGTCCTTGAGTGCCTGTGGCCACAGACACTGGGGAGGGCAGGTTTTCCTTGCTTTTTGCTCTTTCCAGGTGAGGATGACCTGGGAGTTCCTGCCAGTACAACCCCCAGCTGTGGTACCTGCCCCTCAGTGTCCCAGGCTCCGGGGGCTGTGCAGGGAATGGGACATGTGGCTGCTTGGCTGGCAACTTGCAAATAGTTATTTGCACTGGAGAGGATATCTTGGAAGGGAGGGAGGGAGTTTGGCACATGCTGCCAGCATAAGGGATCTCTTCCCAGACTGATGATCAAAGGCAGGCACACATGACTTCAGGACAGTCATGGAACTATCTGGGCTTCAGGAAACCTGTGGTGGGCTCAGAGCACCTTCCATTGCAAAGAGAGTTTAAAGTCAATGCAGCTTCAGTCAGTGCTCATTGGTAGGACTGCAGCATTTTGGGTTAATAGCCCTTGGAAAGTGTATTTTGAAGAAAATATTTGTATGTTCCCTTAAAAATAGATCCCCAGAGACAGCAGATGCCAGCCTGCTGCTCATGAGGGAGGCTGTTCCCCTGACTCCTGTTGTGGTTTCTTGATGCTGCTTTTCCTTAACAGGATGAGCAGAAACATTCAAAATAGAAACAGTGTGGTGTGATAAATGGAACAAACCTACAAGAATCTGTGATGCTTTGTCATCTCTCCCTGGGATATGTAAATGGTGCCGTTTACAGCAGTCTGAGTGTGCAGCCCTCCTTGCTTTGGTGCTCTTGGTGCAGCTCTGGGCCCTCTCCCTGCAGCTCTGGAGCTACCCCTCACTGCTGGGGGACACTTGGCCTCATGCCCCCAGCTGGGCATTCCACCCTGGCCAGTCCCAGGGGCTGTGGCTGCCATGGCTGTGACTCACCCCCTTTCTACCCCTCGTTTCCCACCTTTCAGTCTGTAACATCCCACTGGGAATAAAAAGGCGCCTTAGGATGCCATTAGTTGTTACCAGTCCCTGGCACAGTTGTGTTGCCGTCCCAGCCAGGCACAGCCTGTGCCCCGTGGCAGCGGGGCTGTGTGGTGCTGAGCGGGGCTGGGAGGTGAGACAGGACTGGGGAGCTGCTGCCTGGGGAGGAGCCCTGGAGAGGCTGCTCATCCACACAGACCCATTACTTCTCTTCCCAGCTAGCTACGGGCGAGTTTTCCCATCCCTTTTATCCTTCCCCCAAAGGTATTTTAGTACTGTGCCATCAGGGACAGAGCCCAGCAGGCAGTCAGGTGCATGGAGGGGTGTATCTGTCCTTTGTGCCACAACAGGACGTCTTTTCTCCAGAACAGAGGTGCACACGGTGGCTTGAAGCCAAGGGAAAGGTGGCTCAAAAGGCCTCCCAGGCAGGCCGTGGAGCAGCAGCTCCAGGCCCAGGAATGAATTTCTGTGTGTAGGGAGTCAATCCCCTGCTGGGTGTGGTTTCTATAACCTTCTTATTCTCTTTCTTAGACGAGTTCAGAGGCTCTGTTGGATCCTCAGCAAATCCAGGCTTTTGACCAGCTGTGCCGGCTGAACCGAGGCACCTCCCGCGTACGTACCCGCCGTCCTGCGGGTCAGCCCGGGGACAGGCGCTCTGCACGTGGTCAAGCCAGCCATTGGGGTGGCAGTGAGGGCTCTGCCTTGTCTCTGGGCTTTGGTCTAGTGCTGGCAATGGGCTGGGCACACCGTGAGACAGCCACGCTGGGGAATTCACAAGCAGGAAAACCTGGGAATGCCTCTGGCTTTGGGGCTGGGCCCGACAAGTGCCACATCCTTTTTGGGTTTGTAACCTCCCTCCCCTGCAGGCGCTGTGTGGCTCCTGTGGTCACTTGGAATGCTCCCTCCTCCTGCCCCCGTGTTGTCCCAAGGAGAGTGCAGTTTCCTCCCCTGGCATTTTCCTTGTGCCTCCTGCCCATTTTCGCTGCAGTTGTTGGCACTTTCAGCTCTTCCTGGGCTTGTTTTTCAATTATGTGACTTTAAACCAACCTAAAGATCCCTGGTGAGTTGTTTAGCTCTGGACTGGTGTCACACCTGGAGCTCTGTAGGGCCCCTCCATAGACACCCTTTGCTGTAGGTGGGTTAAGGTTTCTCTGACCGCTGCAGGAACACGGTGACCCCCCAGCGCTCTGTTCCTGTGCTCCCTGCAGGGTGTTCCGGGGTGCTGAGGGTGATCCATGTGTGTTTTCCCTGCAGTTGGCTCTTCTGACAGAGCTGGCCCGTGGTGGTGAGAAGCACGGGCTGCTCAGCACTTCCCACGGGGACCCGGCCTCCAGCAGCGTCTTCCAGAACGAGACCTTCCAGCTCCACCTGACCCCCCCTCCGCTGGCCGAGGACTAGTGCTCCTGTACTGGCAGGGCTGGGCTGCCCTCGGGTCCTGCTGCTGGCAAGCCTTTCCATCGCTCCACCGGACTTTTCCCCCCACATCTCCTTTTCCAGAACCTTCTGGGCTGACTGTGGGTTTGTAGCTAGGTGATCTCCCAGCTCTGCTGCAGCCTCTCCCTAAGCCAGGGCAGCTGGGCTGGGAGCTGGAGCCAGGGCACGGACAGCAGGGCTGCCTGTGCCCACCCCGGGCTTGGCCAGTGGGGACTGCCCACATAACGGGGGAGGTGCCTGCGCTGAGCCCACAGCTGTGTCCCGGGGTTGGTGCTGTGCCTGGGGCCAAACCTGACCTCTGTGCTCTGAAAGCAGCTGTTTTGCCAAGGCCTAGCCCCATCCGAGGGCACAGAACAGGCAAACCTGGAGAAGGCTGAGGAATGTGCAGGAAACATGACCTGTGCACGGTGTGTCCCACCCTCCAACCATTAAAGAGGCCCTTGGGTGAACTTCTCTCATGCTTTCTGCACACGGGGAGCGGGTGAGGGCTGCTGGTAAGAGAGAGAAATCTTGTCCCTGGGGGGTGAGGCCCAAACCTCCCCTCTCACCCCGTTGTACCTTATGTTGGGAATGTGGGGGAAGCGTATGTGAAAAGGTGTCTCAGACACTCGGGGGCTGCAGGGGTTAGAGGGTGGGTGTGATGGGTGCTGGTGGTCACAGAGGTTTGTCACTCTAAGCTGAGCCCAGTGTTCTGTAACACCAAACTGGGCCGTGTCCCTTCCCAACAGCACCTTTAGCACCTGCTCTCACCTCCGTGTTAGTGGGGTTTGTGTGTTGTCACCTCTGGCTTCTCACTCACACTCCTCTTCCTCCTGCTCACTTTGTCACTGGCACGTGGGTGTTTTGGGGTACCACACCCTGGGGGTCCCAGCTGCTCCCAGGGCACAGCACCGGGTGGGGTTGTTCTTCCTGCACACAGAACTCTGGTGGCTGATCCATGCAGAGCTCACACGGAATGGCAGGAGTATGGGAACAGAGAAGCACGAGGTGTTGTGCAGAGCTCACCTGGCCAGGAGAAGTGCCTCACCTCCTTCCCACCAGCATTGAGAAGTGCACACTGGTGTTTCCAGCCTGCAGCCCCACGGGCACCTGAGCTGGGGTGGCTCCTGTCCCCTCTGTCCTTCCCCCTGGCTGGGACAGCCCTTTGGGTAAGTGGGAGCTGGGCCCTGGGGGTGCCCACCGGGGTGTGCTGCATGTGGTGATTGCCTTCTGCTGCCTGCCCTGGGGGGTGTCAGCTGCCCCTTCCTTTGCTGGAAATGCAGGGATGTTTCACTCCAGTATGGAAAGCACATGGGGAGTCAGGACAAGCAGAAGGCCAGTTGTTCAGTATTTTATTCAAGATATACACACCTCTCCCTGGCAGGGTGGAGCAGCCAGCCCAGGGCATGGCTCGAAGGGCACGGCCAGGCCAGTGTTTGTGCAAAGGAAAGGGACCACGTTTCCGTGGGAGTGTGATGGAGCACAGGGAGAACCTGCTGCTGGGCCGCTGCCCCAACACTCCCTGAACAGCCCTGTCCCACCCCAGGCTGCTCCGCTGACGTTTTCCAGGAACAACAGAAGGAAGAGGCAGCTTATTGTGCTTAAGACATCTGAACATCCTGGGTAGGAGACACTCACAGCTTGTGAATATTGCTAATTACTTACAGTTAAGAAAGGATGGATCCTGGCAGGGACAGGGCCCTGTGGGCCCCCAGGACCTCACGGTGAGTCTGGGCCATCACCACCCTGAGGGTCCCCGCGCTCACGGCCGGTGCCCACGCGGGGCCGCGGCTCCTGCTTGCCCGCAAACAAGGTGAGCTCGTGCCAGGCCAGGGGTCCTGCTGACCCACCCTGTGCTTGGTGCCTCAGGGAGAGCTGGGAGGAGCTCCCTGCCCTTGGGAAAGGCCCCCACCAACCCCTGGGGTGGGAGCAGCTGCCAGCCCACCCATTCCCCCAGGGAAGGAAGAGCCTTCCCCTTTCTGGGAGGAAAACTCAGGTAGGCCAGGCATGAGAGTGAGCTTGTCCAGCCCTCCACTCAGATTACAATTGAAAGATTAAATATGAATAAATGTTGTAGGTTTATACATAATGTTTCCTTCTACTTATGAAATGTGTCTGAATGGTCCTAAGACACCCAAACGTTGTTAGAAACCTTAGTTAGCCAAGAAAAACAACCCCTTCCTTAAAAAATAAATAAATCCTATTTAGTTTTACTACGGCCTTTGTTTAAATGCCCTCAGAAAAACAGTATTTTCAGGTGCCTTGTGAGAATGTATCTGTTCATGCAATGGCCCAAGTTCCTCATTTCACAAGCATTGCACTTTTTTATGTAAGTCATCAAAACTATAAAACCTATTATTTTTGTCTGAAAGTGTTAGTCTAAAAAGTACAGCATTACTTTATATCCACCCATGGAAACTCCTAGACACGTATGTGCACAGACACACACTGTTGCCTAAATTGTCTTCTAAAGATACTGATTACAAAGTGTATAAAATTGGGAATACATTGTCAGGATACAGTGAGAGATGAGCCATCCTCTACTATGGACTATAATCTAGGATCAGTCACTAACTGTACACCTTTATACAGCCTTGGATTCACCAGGGACTTCTGAAACCCAAACAGAACTGCACCAAGGATGGCAGTAACGCTGTGGGAACACACGTTACTGACCCCAGCTCAGCTGAGCCCACTGAAATCTCAGTGACTTTTTGTTTCCTTCAAGCAGGGCTGAAACCAAACCTCCTGTGAGGCAGCTTGTGCTCCCAGCTTGTCCTCCCCAGTGAGGACCCCTGCTCTGAACCTGCTCCTGGACTGGAAGCGAAGGAGCCAAAGTCTCCTCTCCCTGCTAGAATGACCTGGGGCTGTATTTTAACAAGCACACACCCACGGGCACCTCCACGCCGTCCCCAAGCTCTGCCAACACAGTGGTGTGGCTGATAAAATGCTGTTTAACTTTTTGTTATTCTTCAGGCAGATGCAGGCCCTGAGGCCACTTGGTCCTGAGTGTCTGGCCCCGAACAGCCCAGGAGGAGGCACAGGCAGAGCCGGGGGTGGATTGTGTGTTTGGAGGTAGTCGCTTCCTTCCCCTGTCCTGGTGCACCCCAGTCTAGTGTGGTACTGGTGAGATGGCCCTGCTGCCCCTCCTGCCTCCTGCAACACCACATCCCCTTCCCAAGATCCAGGCAGAGAAAAGGGACCAACTGGATTCAGGCGCCTGCTGCCCCTCAGGGAGAGCTGCCTCCTCAGGAGCTTTCAGAGCCTGACCTGCCTCAGCAGCTGCTTGGTGCATAGCCTGGAGAAAAGTTGGGAGGCACTTTGTGCGTTCTCTAGCCTGCCGTTCCAACCTGCTGGAAGTGTGGTGCCCGCAGCCTTGGAGAAGAGTCACACCAGCACTAGAGAAGAGGCTGGACAAGGCGCTGTCAGGACAGAGAGAGACAGGAGGAGCCTCTGCCCGCCCCCCCTCACGTAGCTGTTTGAGAAAGAGTAAGGGCAACTCGGTTTGCTGCTCCAGGCGTGCACCTCCCATGCTCTGAGGGCCCACTGACAACCCCCGACGGGTGAAACACCTCGAGTGGCACGTCCTCGTGGGAGAAGGGGGGTGTGGGGGTAACCCAGACCAAAAAAAGGGCCTATTTCTCCTAGAAAAGTCTCAAGATTTGTCACTACCTTACGTGCAGACATGGGAGAGCTGATCAGGCTGAGAATGTGTTAAAACTGCTCAGGCTGCTGCTAGTTCGCCATATGTAAGTCCTGTGACCCCACTCCCATAAGGAATCCAAAATATCAAGTGCACTGGAAAAAAGGGATTGTCAGAAAAAACAGAAAATAGAAATACTACAAAAGCAACATTACTGAGTGGGAATGGGACTGAGCCGGTGCCGGCCGCGGGGTCACACCGTGGTTTCTATAGTCTCGATCACCTCCATCTCACACTGCGAGGGGGACAGGAGCGGGCACTCGTCCGGCTCCCAGCTGCTATCCGGGCTGTAATCCTCCTCTGAGCTCAACTCAGCCACCCCCTCCGTGTCCTCGTCACACGACTCCATGTAGTGAACCCCCACGGCGTTGATGCCGGAGTCCTCGGAGCTGGAGGGGGACGAGCAGTGCTCCGCTTTGGCTGTGTTGCTCTCGGCCGTGATGAAGGCGTTGCGAGCGGGGGCCTCCTCGGCCCTGCCCCGGTGCGGCGCGGGCGGCGGCTGCCTCTGCACGTAGCACATCTTGCCGTTGATGCACTTGACGCGGTAGTTGTCGATGAACAGGTCGGCGATGGTGCAGAACTGAGGCGAGTCGGGGGGCAGCGGGGGCTGGAAGACGGGCGCGAACTTGAGGAAGTGCTCGGTGAGGGACACGGAGATCTGGATGGTGTTGGGGGGCTCCCGGGGGCGCACGGGGATCTCGGTGCTGGGCAGCTGCTCCACGGGGGTCATGGGCTGGTACACGTATTTACCTGTGGGGAGACAGAGGAGCGGCAGTTGAGGAGTGTTGTCTCCACGTGATGCCCCTGACCGTCAATAACCACCAGCAGCTCCCTGCAGGCAGCGGCTGCTGCTTTCGGTGGCCTCCAGGTGTTCGGGCCCCTCCTGGTAGGGATCCTCTGACACCTAATCCTGCAGGTAAGTGTAACCTCCCATACTCTAGCTTTGCTATTCTCCCTGCCTCTGCTTCAAGGACATCACTAACTCCAGAAAATTCACCCCAGAGGCACAACTCCATAGCCAAGAAGTGGGACGGACGCCAAGGCTGCCCACACCTTTTTCCAGGAGAAAGAAAAATTACGAGATGCTCAGGGATTTTTATTTATTTTTTTCCCACTGAGCAGAGCAGTTCTAGTTTACATCTTTGCTACAATGATCAAAATTTTATTATATTGTTATTATTCCAATGAGTCTCCCTGCCCATGTTTCCATTTTCTTTTTCCCTGAGGTCTAAATCCTGTTCTTCCGTATTATAAACCAGAGATCATACATGACTACAATTAGAATTTTAAGGCAGAAAACAAGGGCATTTCTAGGCTATAGAAATGCTCTTGGCATCCTGATTATCTGGTTAAGTAGTAAGAAAATAGGATTATGTTGGTTATATTGAGCAGAACAAAGTGTGAACTGAACATCTTTAGTAAAAGAAATAAATAAGAGAGCAGAAAATTGGGACTATGTTAGGAAAAACTGAGAAACCCGAGGCTATGCCTAAGACTGTAAAATGCTGCATTTTATTTGCATGAAGCTTCTGAAAGATTCATGTCTCCCTAGGGGCTCATCCGCCGGGAAAGCACGAAATTCCAGCAGCCGGGTGAGTAGTGGGGCTGTCAGAAGAGTTTTGCTGCACACGCTGCAACCCCTGCTCTGCCCAGGCAGCAAACGCTGCTGAAGGGCTGTTTGGGTGCTCGGAGCTCCCCAGGTGAGGGGCAGAAAGTTCCTGCATTAAGGAACCCGGCCCTGTGCTCAGATCTGCCACGTGCCCTTGTGCTCCCAGCTCGGAGGTGCAGCCTTTCTCCCCAGAATTACCCGTTCCTTTGGCAATCACACAACGGCTTGGCTTGGGAGGGACCCTGAAGATCATTGAGTTCCAACTCCCTGCCATGGGCAGGGACACTTCCCACTAGTCTAGGTTGCTCCGAGCCCCAAGGAAGGGCTCGCTCCCCTTGCCGTGCCTCTCTGCAGGAGAAAAATCCCCCCCTCTAATCAGCCTGGGAATGCCTCCCAGCCTTGGGAGGAGCTCTGACAGCACTGGCACTGAGGGGCTGAGGATGCTCTGGGTGTTCCTGGCTCTTCCAGGCCCACGCACAGGCTGTGCTCTGCCAGCCCGGCGGGGACGTCACCAGGGGAACCCCGAGCGCCGGGAAGGCTTTTCCCTCCCTGCTGTGCCGGTGGTGTTGGAAGGGAAACACACCCGTGTGAAAGTCGGCTGGGACTTCCTACCCCCATCGCCCGAAAACAGCGGACAGAGATCCGCAGGAAGAGCTCAGGGAGCACGGGAATGTGGGAGAGGCTGCAATGCCAGCGGTTCCCAACGCAGGCTCAGAGGAGCGAGCACCGGAACACTGGCGAGGAAATCCCTCCGGTGTGCCGCGGGAAAGAGGCAGAGCTGAGAACCGCCAGTAGAAGGGGAAGAAGAGTTTGGAATAGGTTTGACCAGCTCCCCTCGAATACCTCGTGGAATGCTTTCTCCCTGCCATCTGTGGAAGGGCAATTGTTCACAGAGCTGCTGGAAAAGCTCAGTGACAATAAACCAAGCTTTTCCCCTGCCTGTTTACAGCGGGATGGCAGAAAATACAAAGCCATCCTGTCCGCTCGCCCTCTTTTTGCTGTACCATGGCGTGGTCCCTGCCCTTGCTGTGACTCGGAGGGATGAAGTGCTGGCACTGCAGCCCCGGGCAGAGCAGAACTCGGGCTCCTTCAGAGCCCTTTGGAGCAGCAGCTCCTTGGTTCTGGAGTCACTGAGCGATGGGGGCTCTCGGATGTTCCTCAGCTCTTGCTGACAGAACTTCCCTGGGCAGCTCCTCGCCCTCACAGCCACGGCAGCAGCCCACAGCTTCCTGCTATCCGCTGCTTCCCAGAAACCCTTCTGTGAAATTTGGGAACATTCAATATGCCCCTGCCCTGCAAAGCCCACAGCTGATGATTAGTGTGCTGCTGGCTGGGAGAGTGTCTGATAAATTCAGCTCATGGAAACCAAAGTGCAACCTGCCCTTGCCTCAAACCACAATGCTCCATTTATCCATGGATCTGGAATGCTTCCGTGTGGGCCCCTATCGCATTCCACTGACAACAGACACTAGTGAAAAGCATTTCCTCAACTCAGTTTTGTGCCACCTCTATTTGAAGCATCCAAGGAAGACTCTGGTGAAGATTTTAGCAGGATCAAGAAAAACGGTATCTGCACAACAGGACTCTGTTTTCACTTAAAACAGCCCCGTGTGCTGGCAGAAGGCTGGGGGATGTTTGGAGAAGGAAGCAGTGGATTTAAGCCAAGAAAGCTTTACAGCATGGGCATGGAATGGTGAGGCAGAGATTCAGCAGTGTGACTTTTGTTGTTTGTTTTTCCCCTTTTGGGAAAAGAGGAGAAGAGGTGTCAGGGGCAGACAGTGTTGCTGGGAGCCCAGTGGGTTGTTTTCCCACTGCAGCAGCACGTGGCAGTGTCTCAGAACTGCCCCGCTGGCACTAACTCCAGGGCAGGAGCAGAGGATTTCAGAGCCCGTCTGTGTCAC